TCAATTTATGGTGTAATCTTTTCTATCCTTCTATAGACATCTATTTTCCATATAACTATAACTTAAGTAAATGGTTTTGTCGAGAAGGAAATTTTTTTCGCTGAATTCTCTTTATTTTCATTCAATGACATAATGAGTTATTTTAATTATTATTCTATCTTATATTATCTCAGTCAGTGGAATAATTTCCATAAACCATATATAACTAAATAAATTAGAATTTGTTGTGAACAGGGAAATAAGAAGCCCAGACAACTACGAAAGCTATTTTCTTGGGACATTATTTCATTTCATTCAAACCTTGTAAAACACTTATATTTATTTTTGTCCCTATTTTATTCTACATAACATGAGCTTTCGTTCTATGTATCATTCACTGCCATACCTTTTTTGTTCCGAAAATATTGTAATTTAAACATAATATTTTGCATCTTATTTTCTACCCTAATTCCCAGTTTCGGGCATAATTGCATTTTTCCAAGTTATCGTACGTTGTGGTCAGGATATTCACTTATTTATTCATGTACATTTTTGCACCAATTCATAATTCAGAGTGTTCCAACTGTCTTGCCTTCTCTCACTTGCGTGCCTGCCAACCGATCAGGTTCTAGAATAGTTCTCTCTCTACCCCATCTCGAACTCACGCGTATTAGCCTCAAGGTTAAGCCGCACAGTCTATTGCGCCAAGGTCATAATCTAGACTAGACAAATCAAGGTCAAGTCATAACAAAGTATCGACGAGGTAAAAGCGGTTCAAGGTCATAACGGAATTATTAGAAGAGGGTTTTGTGGAGATTTTAGTAATTTAGTAGTTGAATTCATGAATCAATTGATGCTAGACCACAATGGAAAACCTGGAAGCACTGGATGACCGTTTCCTGGTTAAGCGCTCGCGCGCGAGACTGATAGGTCCTGGGTTCGAATCTCGAGGAGGGCGGGATCGTGGATGCACACTGTTGAGGAGTCCCATACTGGGACGAAACAGCTGTCCAGTGCCCCTAGGTTTTCCATGGTGGTCTAGCTTCAATTGACTCATGACTTCAACTATTGATAATTAATTATTAGTGGGGATTTCCTTTTACTGATTTCATTATAATTAAAGGGAAAAAGTAGCTCACTGGATTTTGCTGTTCTGTTGTCATACTTGATCGTGTTGATGATTTCTTTAGACTGTTTGAAAAATTTGGTTCAATTGCACGTTTAAAACAATTGATCAAAGTGTGATGACTCATATTTATGCGTTAGAAAAGAAAAGTATATATGTCTATACTGATTACACGAAGTTTTCTGTGGTTCCTTGTAATAAAATTGATGATTATGTAAGAGAAACGATTTAAATTTTCTAAAAACAACAAAGAATAGTCCCTTAAATATTCAAAAGCATTGAAAATCTTATCATATTCGAAATGTAAAGAAATATTGAATGAAAATCTACTAACTGCTTTGATAAAAGTTAGGTAAATGGACATAGTTTCTGTTTTGAAGATGGTTATCACCATAGGTTAAAAATTAAGCAACAGTTAACAGTCGTTTCATTGTAGTATAGCACTTCGTAGCATAGAGCACCTATGACTTCTTTAGTTATCGAAGTTAGAACCCTCTGACCTGATTGCAGGAAAATTACCTATAGAACAGTGACTTGGAATACACTGGTCTACATTGCTTTGATTATGCAATACTAAAGCGTATTCGTCAACTATCATTGTCTATATTTAAACCAAAGGTTATGATTAATCTTGATATAAGGGATCTTTATCGAAAAGTATTCACTAAGTATAGCTTTATCAGAACTTAAACCATCTTAGTTGTCATGGCTACATCAAATTATTTAAAATCAATTAGACTGACAAAAAATTGTTAAGCTTTTCAGAAAGAAAATGATTATCGTGATAAGGTTTCTAATCAACATTTTATCAGTAATTAATTATAAAGTGCTTGGAGTAACAAATAAGAACTTTCGTCTAAACTCAATAGAATGGTTTCACAGTATTTTGGTACCGAGTTGATGTGAGATATTCAAGAGGAAGAATGTATTTGTAAAATCTCGTTTCACACCACATATATCTTACACAATAATGCAAATACCTACTTTAAATATTGTTAACGTTGTTTGAATGACCTATTCAGTATACAGTGAATCGGGGAACCATATACGTATTTAACATTTCAATAATTTTGATGTTTGATTGTATTTCTTTGAAAAATCTTGAACCAGATTGCTAGGTGAAACGTTAGATTTACTTCAAATTCATTCACTGAGATTTTACAAATACATTCTTCCTCTTCAATATTTACAGTAATCTTGAGAAGAGGAAATTAGGAAAAGACGATGGAAATGGATAGGACATACATTACGAAAATCACCAAACTGCATCACGAGGCAAGCCCTAACTTGGAATCCTGAAGGGAAGCGAAAAAGAGGAAGGCCAAAGAACACATTGCGTCGGATAATAGAAGCAGATATGAGAAGGATGAATTACAACTGGACGGAGCTAGAAAGGATTGCCCAGGACATGGTTGGATGGAGAATGCTGGTGAGCGGCCTATGTTCCTTCACGAGGAGTAACATGCGTAAGTAAGTAAGTAACCTCGAGAAATATTACTATTCTGAGATCTACTTTCATTTAATTTCATTATGAATATGTTTCCACATGAATCATTCACTATAATCTGTATATAACTCATCTCTTCGATAACAAATATACAAAATAAGAGTATTTCATTTATTAAAGTACTATTCATTATTGAAAATAAAACATGCACACACAAAAAAGAAAGAATTAACATTTGACTTTGATTTGGCTTTGTAAATGAATAAATTTTCAATATAATTTATGTATATTTTTTTATAATTAGTAACCATCTACCCCCCCCCTCAGCATCACTATTTGTGAATAAATAATCACTATTGAATTATTGATACATTTACTTGATTTGTTTTTTTATTTTTTATTTCTTGTTTATTTTCATAATAAATTGTGATAAATTCATAATCTATGGTAATTTGATATTATTCATTGTCTAATTCTGATAATCCAAAGAAAAACGATGATTAGATTAGTTATCAATTGAAACAAAACAATGATTTAGTCAGTTATAAATTAATCTACAGAATGGGGATTAATATGATTTGATTCAAGTTATCAAACTATATTAATATAACAAGATGTTTATGCCTGTTACTCCTTATGAAGGAACATAGGCCGCTCACTAGCATCCTTGATACAAACCTGTTCTGGGCAATCCTTTCCAGTTGTTATTCATCCTTTTCATATCTGCTTCTATTTCTAGACGTAATGTGTTCTTTGACCTTCCTCTTTTCCACTTCCCTTCAGCATCCCAAGTTAGGGCTTGCCTCGTGATGCAGTTTGGTGATTTTCGTAATGTATGTCCTATCCATTTCCATAGTCTTTTCCTAATTTCCTCTTCAGCTGGGAGGCTGTTGCTCATGATATCCGGCCAATGGATGTTCAGTATCGTACATAGACAACTACTTATAAATAATTGTACCTTCTTGATGATGATTGTAGTAGTTCTGCATGTTTCAACTCCGTACATTAGGACTGTCTTGATGTTCGTATTGGAGATTGTGACTTTGATATTACTTGACAGTTGTTTTCAGTTCCATATTTTTTTCAATTGTAGGAATAATGTTCATACTTTGCCAATTCTTACACTTCTATCTGCAACCGATCTTCCTTGTTCATCGATGATGTTCATCGCGTTATCCAATTAGCTATTGAATACCAGTAGCCACTTGCTTGTGCAATGCGGTGAAGTTTAAATACATTTTGTATTATTTGTTGGAATCTCCCTATTGATGTTTAGGACTGTGATTGATCAGTCTCTTATTGGCATATGTGTATCCTGTTAGGATTGTCACAATATTGCCTGGATTCCACTGCTAGCCACCATCCATCTTTGCTTATAATGCTTGTGACTTAAGGGGATATCGAGACAATTCGCACCGGATGCATATATACCAATAAGAGACTGGTCAATCGCAGTCCTAAATGTCAATGGGATGATTTAAATAAACAATACAAAATGAATTTAATAAATATAGTATTTGGTCAAATTAATTGAACTAAGGAAAAAGATTAAATACTTTGAGAAGTTAAGTCAAATAGTATCTATAATACGATTTGTATTTCTACGTAGTCAAACTAATCTAAATCGTATCAACATGAATCCTAGTCTATGACTGAACAGATAGTTATCTCATACCCTACTCATATACTGACTCAACATTAAATATCAATGTAACATGTGACTTATGAAAATTACATCTAATTCAGTTGATAAATAAATAATTACTAGTATAGGGGTTGTGGAGATTACTAAGTTTTTGACTGAGATCATGAACCGATCTCAATCAAAAACTTAATAATCTCCACAACCCTTATACTAGTAATCAACATGTGCTCACTAGTGACTAGCTTCGTGAGGGAATTCTCGGAGTTCTAGTGAGAAGCCGCGACTAGTAGAGCTAATCCATGTCGGGCAGAGACAGGTATCTACCTCAGTACGATGGAAGTTGGTCGCGCAAATTTGTGGATTGGTTGATGTTAGACACTATCACCACTGAATGCCGGCTCAGTGGTCCAGTAGGTTAAGCGTTCGTGAGCGAGATCGAAGGTCCTGGGTTCGAATCCCGTGAGCGGGATCGTGCATGCGCACTGTTGAGGAGTCCCGCAATAGGACGAAACGGCCGTCCAGTGCTTCCAGATTTCCAAAGGTGGTAGTCTAACATCAATCGGTTCATGATCTCAATCAAATAAATAATTTTCTACTAACAACTTCAAATATCTAAAATGTCTTATCCAATAAATTTACATTTGTCCACATAACTAAAATTAATGACCAACTGAATTATAAGTTCCTATCAAGATATGACTTAACTACATTAAGACTACCATTAACTTATATTATTCTTAAGTAACAACACATACATATAGTTTTACAAGAAAACATACAACATCAAAAATAAAAGTGTATAATTATTCAATCAATATTTATTTAAATATATTTACATAATAAATTATTCTATCCTAATTCAAAATTCATCTATATAAATTGATAGGATTATTGAAATTTGTTCAACCGCCAATTTGAACCATTGAACGATTTACACTTGATGCAAGTTGAATAGCACCTATAGTTCATTTAAAAATAGAATAGAAGAAATAACCAACTTTTTTTTAAAGAAAATAAGTGAAGATAAAATTATAATAGTCATTAAATCAATAAATTACAGTTAACTTAGTAAAATGGTTTATTCAATTTTATAATCAATCCAAATAGTATTTTAGTTCCATGAAGGGGAAAAAATAGGATTAGTCTTTTAATGTAGGGGATAATTTAGTAAAATAAAGCGATTACTTTGTGTTATTTAAGCGAATATCAAGTTTGAATGGAGATTTTTAGCTCAGGTGGATGATTTGAATAGAGTTTTGTTCTCTGAGCTGGACGGTTTGATCGCGGAGCTTACATTGTTCTTCTGAACGATATCATCAGCACAAACTTTAGACAAAAGTGAAGCGTTCGAATTTCTCTATATATGGTTCATAGTTTGTCCTGTAGACCACGATGTTGATTGGTTAGACGATTGGATCGAGGTCCATACATTAGGACTGTCTTGATGTTCGTATTGGAGATTGTGACTTTGATATTACTTGACAGTTGTTTTCAGTTCCATATTTTTTTCAATTGTAGGAATAAAGTCTATACTTTGCCAATTCTTACACTTCTGTCTGCAACCGATCTTCCTTGTTCATCGATGATGCTTCCCAGGTACGTGAAAGTTTCCACCTCTTTCAAAGTTTCTCCATCAAGTGTGATTGGTTTAGTGTTATCCGTGTTGAATTTAAGGATCTCCCTTTTTTCCTTGCTGTATGTTGAGGCCTACTTCTGCACTATTTGTCTTCATCAGAATATGTTGGTGTGTATGGGATAGAAGGGCCAAGTCATCTGCATAGTGCAAATCGTCTAGTTGATTCCGAGCTATCTAGCATAAACAAAAGCAATCACTTAATTACAATCTATAACTTAATATGTCATAAATTATTTGAGATTTTTAGTAAAGTTTCCGTCTCAAACCATTTTATTGTTCATAGCGTTTTCATTTGATCATCTTAACTTGACATTTTCAAAACAAGGTTTTCACTAGAAAACAAACGACATTTGAACTTGTACTTCACTTACATACTATCATATAGTGAATTACGGTAATCAGAGTGTTTGTAGTTCAGATTACGGAGATCTCCTGCTTTACAATTCTCATGGTATTATACCTACTTGGTGGATGATCAGATATCAATTCAGAAGAATTACAGAAAAATCCAATGAACTAAATCGTGTGCTATAATTAGATTTATCGCTTTCTTCTAGTTTATCTTATTACCAGAATATAAAAAAACGGACCGACTCTGAAAATAATGTCTAAATTAATAGTGAAACGTTGATAAATGGAAATAGAATTATGTATTAGTTTATTGTTTAAAACTATATTTACCTTTGTGACTAGCAGACTTTTTAGTTAAAGCTTGATCGACAATCTCATCAAGTTGATCATAGATTTCATTTAATTGCTTAGATTGTTTTAAATTATAATTAGGCTTATCAGCAAACCAATCATCAATTACATGTGAATTCATTTTGTTGCGTAATATTTCCACTAAACTCACTTCATAATTATCATGTAAACAAATTTTAAGATTTCCATCAGCTGTAATACGTAAACGTGAACATCCGGCACAAAAATTCTCGGTCATTGAAGTGATGAAACCAATCTTACCTAACCATCCTGATACTTGAAAAAGCTTTGCAAAAATGAAAATATTAAGAAGTAAATCAGAGAATATTAACAGGGAAATTGTTTTCTATCATGAAACTCAACGATCAGTAAGTAGGTCATTATATTAAAAATATGTTTTTTTCATTTTTCACCTATGAACATTAGTATATAATTGTATACTTTATATCACTATCCGATATTCTAGTTCAATAAATCTTTAAAGCATACATGACAGACTTTCTTATCCAATGAAGTAGTTAAGTATAGGATGTAGACCAATAGATCATCTATGTTACCGTTTTTTTTAGTTTGAAAAGCCTTATGGTGATTCTTAGCTCTTCTTTGGTAAGGTTAAATCTTGATAATAAAAACTATTATTTGGTAATTAAACTGTTACGATTAAATAGACTGTTCATATAATAAACTAGAATGAATGCAATGTTTTATACCTATTAACGTATTCATATGGTTTTTGTTGAACTATTAATAATTAAACACGAAAGTGAATTGTTCTTAATGTCTTCAATGTCTTCTATTCACTTCATCTTCCGACATAAATATAAATTCTGATTTTAAAGATCATTTACTTGTAGGATGCAAAAAATTATTTGAGTTGGGAGCATAAAATCTACGACTCATTATCATGACGGATTATCTTTATACATAATAATACGGTACTCTATTCGATCTATGTTCAATGCTATTGGTAGTGATGGAGAAGATTTCTAGTTATAGTGAAAACCTTCAATGAAGTTAAGTCTTTTGAACTAGATAGTTTACTTGAGCTGACTTTTATGAAATTACAATCCAGTGAATATCACCCTATATTTTAGATCATTTTAAAAACACATACCTTTGGGTGATATTGAGTTTTTAAAGCTGGATGATTTAATAATGAAGCGTTCATCATCAATCTGAATAGCATTATCAAAGTTCACTTCAAATATAAGTGAGCTTATGAATTATTAAACAAGCGCTAGATCAATCTGTTCCACTTTTTATTTTCTTATTCAAGTTTTAGGCCTACTATATACATAAATAAAAGAAATAACACTTCTTTATGATCTCATTTTATCCCAATGATTTATTCCTTAAGCTCATAATCTTTCTTTAAGACCGCACAAAGCTACTGATTATGTAAAGTAATCCAAAAATATAGTATATACATTTTCTTGTAATCATATAATCGATTATTCTTCAGAATTAATAGTGTATAGTGTTTAGTAGCCCTTCATCTGAATTCAATTGGATCGTATGGTTAGACTGTAATTTATGGACGACCTTTGAGCAACGCTAAAGTGACCTTGAGAATGTCCACCTACTAACTAGAACTAAATGAGGGTTATAAATCTGTGTGAGGAATTATAACTATAACTTACGTTTGATAATTAAGGTTAGGAACTAGATTTAGGGTTTTTATCACGAACTGACATCAGCTAAAATGCCGAAACACTATTTAACCAAGTAGATGGATGAAAATTGTGCCGAAATCCAACACCTGTTATCCTAAATCTGATCAGTTCGTTCATAAATTATAGTCTCGCTGACCGTATGAATGACTGTTATTGAAATATACATCCTGGCTACCCTCGTAATATAATCATCTACTTAACTCGAGTTAGTGAATAAATGAATTAAATAAGTCAAATGCGAGAATAGAATGTTCATAAAATTATAATTTTATGGGTGAGTAATATAACTGTGTAAATGTTATAATTTAGTATCAACACAAACAGCAATAATAATTCCACGTTAGGTGATGATATCATACTATTGTGATAATAAGAATATGGTAATTATTATAATCATAACGGAATGATCTGCCAAATAGACGAGTGACTAGTGTTGACACGAGGACAAATTACCGATAAGACAATACGAATTGAGCATGTCCATATCGCTGCTTTATTGACTTCGCTGAATGTGTCATATTAGAGTTTGTGTAATTTGAATTGCTCGTCGATTAAGTCAGCCACTTTGTTTATCGGATGCGTAGAGTTCGAGATATTCATCATCTGCATAGTTTTTTCCATTTCGTTTTTTAATCCCCCATAGCATGGCACACTGATTATCGCTCACAAATAAACTGCTATACACATATGCTTCTTGTTCTCAATTACCCGCCGTTATGATATCAGAACTTCAATACATTTGCTATCTACGTTTACAGATCACAGTGATATTCTCATTACATACTTTATCTGGAAATACATCTCGAACTATAACAATTATAATTGGAATTATTAACTACTTATAATTGTGCATTGAATTATTTTTTCTGGTTAGCGTTTTTAAGCAAGTTAGTTTTCTACAGGATGGGCCCGCTAACCCCATGCTCAACCCTCTTCCTTTGACCGGGCTTGGGACCAGCGGTAGCCTTAGAGGGGCATCAGGCGGAGAATACTGGTCGGCGGCCTAGGTTCCATTGAGGGGGGGGTAACGCTAAGTATAATTGCGGATTACCAGATCAAAAGAAACTTGAATACGTTAATCCCTGACAATTTAAGTAACATCCTGTATATTTTTCTTGTGTGTAATAATTTGTGTTTAATATATTAACACATGAATTTTTGGTTCACCACAAGTTCATTATAACACTATGCCATGAAATATCGAATGTGTAGATGAAATAGTAAAGTGACCGTGAGAATGTCCACCTATTAACTCGAACTAAATGAGGGTCATATTATTAAAATAGTTTTATATGTTAAACAAAAGTATTTTATATTATGCTTACTTTTGTTACATCAAATGATTTTTCATTTAAAAAAATTAAATTTGGATAAGAATTTTGTATAATGTTTAACATTTGTTTATATGAGAATAATTTTGATAGTTCCCAATTGTTACCAGAAAATGGCATATATTCAATGAATCGTACTTCAATAGGCTGAAATAATAAGAATGATGAAAGAAGTATATATATATATTTATAAACATTAATTATAAACATCATAAGACACGATAGAAATACAGATCGGGCTAAATGTTTACTCTTCCCATCAACAAGGAAAGCCCAATGAGTTTGCATAACTTTATTTACAATGATATTATGCTAAACAGAAACTTTTTTTGATTGAGATCATAAATCGATTGATGTTAGACCACCATTGAAGACCTGGAAGCACTGGACGGCCGTTTCGTCTTATTGTGGGTCTCCTTAGCAGTGCGCATGCACGATCTCGCTCACTGGCCTTCAGTCTGGTGAGCGAATGCTTAGCCTTTAAACCACTGAGTCGGCATCCAATGGTGTTAATGTCTAACCTAAACCAATCCGCGAAATCGCGCGAACATCTTTCATTGCACTGAAGTAGATACCGATCTCTACCCAAAACTGATTAGCTCCACTGGTCATGGTTTCTCACTAGAATTCCGAGAATTCCGTTATAAAGCTAGTCACTAGTGATAAGAGAAAATTCATTTTAACGAAATGAATGAATTCGCAGTATGAAAAGCATGAAATAATATGAAAATTCAAGATTTAAAGGAGTTTAGAATTTTCTACAACATTAAGTTTTAGTGCTAAAATTTGACATTCCTGGAACTTTCGATATGATTAACTACTGGATTCTTACAGACAAACTCTCATCTTAAGGGATCGAAAATTGCGTGCTTGAGTGGCTTAATTCTTTTCTCATTCACCGTCACCAAATAATTAAAAGAAACTCCTTATCGGATACCGTCCAGTCAGAAGTGGGATAACACAAGGTAGTATCTTGGGTCCTTTGCTCTTTTTAGCTTTTATAAATGACGTTTGCAACCGCTTTTGTATGGACAAGCCTCTTCTAGATGCGGATGATCTTAAAGCAGTGTGGTGGATGGATTTGTTTTAGCTACCTTTTTCTCAATCTTAACTTGTCTGCAAATGGTACAGTATTATGTAGGTTTCACGCAGTGATTGACTTAGAACTCACGCATTCTCAAGCCTTGTCTTTTCCAAAAGTCTGTCAAATGGACTTCCAAGACCTGGTGACTTTTGGGTTAAAGCAATGATTCACGTATTTTAATTTAAAAAGTATACATTCGAACACCTTTTGTATAATGTGACTTTATTCGTAGTAGTGTTTGTATAAGGCACAAAATGACTGGGATCTGTTCAGCGGCGACTCACACTTCGTATTTTTGGGAAATGACTGTGCCTTACACCATATATCTAGATCAAACAAACGAACACTCGACCCTTTATAGAAAAGGAGATTTACACTGCACTTAATATTTCTTCATAATGTTTAATAAGTAACTTTCACGTTCAGCGCTAGAATTCAACAGAATGAAACATCCAGTTATAGCACTCACAATTCATTACCATTAGTGAAACTGCTATATCCTAAATTTTCTTTCTATATGAATTATCTTAGCAGTAGATTTTTGATACTCTGGAATAATTTGCTGAAACATGTCCTTGAAATTGAATCACTCCCAACATTCGTTTATTGTCGTGATGTTTAGCTCACTTCTCACACTGCCCTAAATATGTTTACACTTTTAAATATATCCCATCTCAAAATTGAAACTAGAAAAAAATTAAATGTTCGATGGCTGTTATGACTGAGCACACTCACTAAACATTTTTATGGAGACATTTTACATTTACACCGTCCTTGGTAAACTTAACTGATTTAAATACTATCTAACCCAATCAATAGATCATGTAACAACTCAGCATATGCATAATGGCAAATCTATCAGATAAGTGTTTACTGTTGTTTTTCTGTGTTCTCCATGTTGTTCTTTTTTAGTTGTAGAAGATTATAATAACTCTGTAATGATACTGGAACCAACCGTGGCTACACTGTTCATACATCAATAAGATATTCTAGTACCCCTACAAAAAATCAGTGGTTCTCAAATGATCTCGCATATTGTTGTAATTCCATGTAACAAATATATTATCAAAACAATTTTGAATTACGTAATTATAAACAATTTTAAGCTATATATCTCTCCTTTATGTACTATCTGTATCAACCTGATCATGACTGTAAATCGGTATGAATTCTGTAATGATTTTCAGAATAAATTATTTATTTGTTTGAAACCTACTTTATTTCTTGATAAAGAACCTAAGACTGATTTCTATTCAGTTGCATAATTTACATTGCTAATTATTTATTACATACTTAAATATATGCAAAATTTGCAATGAAAAATTGAATGTAACTACTGGTGGATCATTTCATTGATAAATATAGTGACTATTTGAAATGTTTATGTCGTCAACAACTATTGTTTAAAAAAATCAAAATATTGAATGATTAAAACAAAAAGCTTGATCAACAGAATACCAAAGAAATAAAATACTTCGCATCACCTGTCTGAGACTTCCCATTGACGTTTACAACTGCAATTGTTCAATCTCTTATTGGCATCCTGTGCAGATTCCTTCTATATTCACTTAAGTCACAAGGATTTCATTGCTAGTCACCATCCATTCCCACCTATAATGTTTATAACTTGAGGCAATATCGAAACAATCATCACAGGATGCACACATGCCAATAAGAAACTGATCAATCGCAGTGCGAAACATCAATGGGAAGATTCGAACAATCAATATAAATAAATTAAACTTCATCCCATTGAACAAGCCAGCGTCCATCTAAACTCAGTAACTAAGTAGATAAAGCGATGGCATTTGAAACGAGTGGTACAGGGATCAAGTCATGGAGTGAACATCAATTATGTAGTCCAGGCACATCAAGCTGATATGTCCACACAGGACGATAAGCTCGTCCTGGGCATTTTTGCTAGGCACCATTTTATCTCTGCATACAAGTTTGTGATAAAATTATAAATTAATGAAAATAATAGTTTTTACAAACCATCCAATTAAACTATTCTGAGAAATGAAATTAAATTTAATCTATACAAACATACACTTACTAAATACCGTGTCAGTTCAACAAAATCGCATAATTCATCTTCATTGAAATTTTTCATAACTACGCAATTAACCTAAAAATAATACAGATAAAGAGATTATCAGTATAGGGTTGTGGAGATTATTAAGTTTTTCGGTTGAGATCATGAACCGATTGATGTTAGACCACCATTGAAAACCTGGACGCGCACTGCTGAGGAGTCCCACAATAAGACTAAACGGCCGTCCAGTGCTTCCAGGTTTTCAATGGTGGTCTAACATCAATCACTTCATGATCTCAACCAAAAAAGCTAAAGAAATGTTTGGTGGTTTTGGGCAGACTTTGTATCATTTGAGGGTAATCTCACACTGATTAGACAACCAATGAAATTTAGGGAGTACTCTATTAATTATTAAATAAAATTAAATATAACATTGAACCTATAATTTTAGAGCATGTTAAAATAAGGAAATGTACTTGTGCTTTACAACGCTTGTTCACTGTTCTGATGTTTAATTAATATGAGAGTCAGGTTTTATTCTGTTTTTGAATGAATTCGGAAACAATCTGATGAACTATGTAAGTATTATTACCAAAGTCGGACATGATAATTTTAAATAAATTGAACATTGAATAGAACTTTAATAATAAAACAGTGATATATTTATGATATTCCAATGAGTATTTCTGACGTTTCGTAACTCATGGCATACCACTTCTTCACAGTAAACAAACAATTGAATTCGATTATGAACTGTTTATTTTACTCAGAATATGACCCTATTTCTTGATCTCAGTATACGTTTTTTTAATACAACAAATAATTTAAATATCATCAGAAATAATTCGTCTTTGTAGTGGTAGTTTGGATCTTCCCATTGATATTTAGCATTGCGAGTGATCAGTCACTTATTGACATATGTGTATTGTGTGCGGATTACTTCGATGTAGCCTCAAGTCACATGCATTATAAGCAGAGATGGATGGTGGATAGCAGTGAAATCCAGGACGTGAGTTTCGTCCTATTTAGGACTGGTCAGCTGGAATACCTACATCCTGAAGTTGTTGTTCGCAACGGAACTTAAACCCAGTTCCTCTCGTGTCAAATAACTCAAACATTGCTTACTGAGTTACTGAATTTAATCCTTTTCTCATTATAGTATAAATATCATACATATTAAACAAGTTAGTGGTTATCTGGAATTGGCAATTCAATGGACAATGCGTAGGGCATTTGACGTGAAAATAAATGGATCCATCGGTGTGTGAACATCAATACCGGGGTGTAGCTACATCCAGATGATAAGTCTAATGCAAGACGAAATGAGTATCATGTATAATACAATTAAACACTATCCATCTCATTGGATTAAGCTATTATGAACATAATATGATTTCAATTATACAACTGCTGAATGATAATCTACACAGAGAATTGTAACAATAGCAAACAATCATTTAAATTAACTAAGATCTATAATTATTCTTTATTTATACTGTAATTCTTTAGAATCCTTAACCCATTTTCTTAATTTCAATGTTGTTTGTTTTTCCTATGTACAGTTAATTATTCAATAAACATCAATGTTTGATTTTTTTAATCTCTCGTTTAGTATAAATTCTTTCTTACAGCATACTAAAAAAATAATCCAGTCTGGTTGTTTCGTCCTTTAAAGCTACCCAGTGATTCATGCATAGTATTCAGTAAAATTTCTTTTTATATTAATAGGTGATAATATCATTGTTCACAATGACATTATTAATACGTTTATAGTGTACCAAATCGAGAATTCAAAGATATTATTTCCAATTATTTCTAAATAAACATGAACTCAAGAGTTAATTTTGAACCTAACACACTTCGACACTAACTAATTATTTTATTCATCTCAAACTTCGTCAATATTTTCAGATTGTCCTATGTTCATCAATCAAATTATAATTCTCATGTAATTTATTCTATGTATATTCCAATCATTGATTATAAGTAAAACCATTCTGATTAGCATCAAAATTTTCAATATAAACACTAAGATAGTTCTATTGTACAGAGCTCAAGCGTCGAGAACTACTATAACAATCATCAAAAAGTACTGGCATATATAAACAGTTCTCTGCGCAAGATACTTAATGTCCGTTAACCGAATATCATCATCAGCAACCTACTGGGGAAGGGAACAAACCAACTTCTACAGGTGGATAAGATATACATTGCCCAAAGCATCACAATAAATCACGAGACAAGCCCTAACTTGGAATCGTGAATGTGAAAAGAAAAGTATACCTAAGAACACACTGAGTCAGGAATTGGAGACAGACATCAAAAGAATGAATAACAGATAAAAGCAGCTGGAAAGGAGAGCCCCGGACAGAGTTGGTTGGAGATCCCTAGTTGGTGGCTTTTACTCGCCGAAAAGTAACAATCCTAAGTAAGCGCGTAAAACCAATGAACTGAAACAAGGTCACATTTTATTCTTTTTATCTCACCATTTAAGAAATCTTGTGATAATAGTTAACCCTAGGTGATGTGGAGTAAAAAGAAACACTTCCTAATAAAATGGATAACTGGTTATGGAAGATGGAGTATGAAAAAATACGCATCACATTGACATACAAATTATGTAGTTCTAAATTACTCTAATGCTGTAATCATTGAATTAGTTCCTTATGTGCTTTTATAGAAAGCTTATAACATTAGGTAGTTGATGGTAATTGGTAGGAAACCTTGATTAAGTCTTTGTTACACTACTTTGAAATATTGGCTAAAAATTCTCTATTGCATTCAAGCATATTGCACCGAATATGTCTATTATTATTATTATTATCATCATCATCACACATAGATACAATGATCCAGATATGTTCAATATGATATTTCGAAGACAGACTAATTCAGTACGAAATTTATCATACTATGGCTTATGGTTCTCCGAACCATATCACATTCCATGATAAAAACTCACTCGAAAAAATTCAAAAAAATAATAATAATTACATACCTTGACACTTTTAAATCCCACTTCAATCGCTTTAATTATAGCTGCCATTGAATGTTTAAATGTAGATTGTCCTGTTAATTTTAAAATTCTTTCTGATTTTAAACTATCTAAACTGATATTCACTGAATTTAAACCAGCTAATAATAAATTTTCAGCATATTTCTTAAATTTCACACCATTTGTAGTCATTGCTATTTCATTGAAATGTTTATGTTGACATTTTAATTCATTCAAATCTTCTTTTATTATTATTATTATTATTTTAAAAAAGAAAAAAGGGTAATAAATAGATAATTGTAATTTATTTCAAACTTATAATTTGTTGTAGATCTGATCGTAATAATGGTTCACCACCGGTTAAACGAATTTTTCTTATACCACGATAACAAAAATAATTAGCAAGAAATAATATTTCATTAGATGTTATTATATTGGATAATATGATTTGATTATTATTTTGAAATGATTTATTTGGCATACAATATGAACCTAATAGGGTTTTGTTTGTTTGTTTGTTTTTTTTTGTAAAAAAAAAAATAAGTAGTAAATGCCAATTTATTTGAACTTACAATTTAAATTACATTTTCCCGTTAATGATATACGTAAATAATCATGAATTCTACCATAATTGTCAATCAGTTTTGTAAACTTTCTCATTTCGATAGACATTCTCAAATATACAGAATTTATAATATTGTAAATGACGATGTATATATATATATATATATATATATATATATATATATATATATATATATATATATATATATATATAGTATTAAGTAATGCTGTTAGTTGATTGGTTGAAACGACTAACCAATGAAATTAAAATATTGATTTACACAATATTATGCACTTAATATTAAATTAACTTGTATAAAGTGTACATTTAAACAAACTAAATCAAAAATGTGTTAGAATGTATTTTGACAATATACATTATGTAATAAACTGAAAAGGAATTCTATTATTTTAGAGTAAATTTATTGATTCAAGGTTTCAAGTTAGTCTTTAAATGATTTATGACTATTGAAGGTGAAAGTTTTACTTGAGTATAGTTCAATAAAAATGACTAATTCTATGTGTGAATTTGCTTTCTTAATACATAAATGATAGAATTACTACAGATAAACTTTTAGAACTCATTATTTTAGAATTATTATCATTTTAAATGAATTAGTGAATACATGAAAGGATGAAAACATTTAACTCAATAGAAAAATGTATCTGTTTTTTTAGTGGCTTTGCTTTTTTTGTCGTTGTTTAGATCGAACGATGTTGTCGAAAGGGCTCTCCACTTTAGTGGCCCATGATCTGACTCCAATTATATCGTATGTTTGTTTGTTATCGAAATATATATATCGCCTATCCTCGTATATAATCATCGACTTAAATCGCGTTAAATTAAATAAGTCAAATAACGAGAACGGACTTTTGAATACATACATTTTGTATGTCAGGTGAATGAAATAGAATGAAGTAAAACGATGCGCAGTGGAGATGGCGGATAAGCCAACTCCCATTTAACCAAGCGTTAATCAATATTTATAGTTACACAAAAGTAAGTTACAGACATGTGATGAGTAATGGGACAAGAAATGTACACACACCTACGTTCTCATATAAAAACAGTCAAGATTGATAAGCGAATAAGTAACAAGGTCAGAATGTGACCCAAGTAAAATGAATAGAATGGACTGTCCGAAAGCTAAAATAAGGTATATGGGCTCAACCTGATAACCGACACTACACTTTGTCAATCAATCACTCTTGTTATTATACAAATTTCAACGGTATTTCAAATTAGAAAGCATTCTTCTTCTTCTTCTTCTTCTTTTTCATATTCAATGACACTATGGGTTATTTTAATTATCAACTATAGTTTATTAATGGATTGCACAGATCACAAAGCTATGAGCACATCAAGCAAATTTGAAGCAGAGGCAAATATGTGTACGAGTGAGTGAATACATAGGCCAATTTATGGTCGAATTGCATAAGGGCACAGAAAGGAAAAGCGAAGGCTAACAATAGGATTTGAGTGCACATATACGTAGGGAGGAGAATGAATACATTTGATTGTCTCCACTGGTGTTCTTGTTCACTACAAGTATAATAAAGAAAAGCTAAGGTCCCAAGAATAGAATAAGATAACTATGCTTATGGTTTATTCGAAATTTCCAGTTTCAACAACTAGCTTGTCTTACATTCACACTTTAACCTTTTTACTTATTATTTACTTCTTTAATCATTACGCAATAATGGATCATACATTTTAAATAAACGTTTAATGAACATTTTCTTAAAATATTCTTCTGAATTAAATTTATCATTCTGGTTTACCTTGTGTTATCATGAAACTAACGTAATCTTTCTCAATAATTCAAGAGTAACTACGTAGTTATATGATAGACATTATTCTCTTTACAACTTCATAAATGCATCTGTAGTGTGGCGTTGAGTCACGGTTGACTATGATCACCACAATAGGAAGACTACGTGCCAGTTAACCGATAAGATCCTTCGTAAGCCAAATATCAGAAGGCAACTGATGGCTGTAGTCGTGATGTATATTTTGGCGATCTCGTGGCATCGAAATTAGACCGAGATCGTGCCACGTTATAAGTGTGGTTACTGAGCGTAACCGAATTTGAGCAAGGTCACAATCGAAAAGAAGAAAGAATGTCTTTAATACAGATAAACAAGCAAGTACAGTAAAACAATCACTGGTACAATTGGTTATAATAATAATTGTTTCCATTACACTAATCGCGTTCTCTTGATAAAAGTAGGTCACTACACATCATTAATCTATTTCTTAAAAAATTGAAAGAATCAAAACACAAAAACTAATCCTGATAAGTTTTCTAAATGAATGCTTGTTCCGATTCTCAATTAACATGAATTATACTCAGTATAACATGCAGTATACAGTTTTCTATATAATTTCATACATGTAATATTTTGCTAATTAATAATTAAATCGGTGTATACATCAATATATAGCTTAGTGCATTTTCGACTACAGTTGTCGTTGTTTTGGAGGGAACAAATTTTCACTACAAGTTTATACTTTATGAGTGACGCCAAGGTGATTTAGTGTGAAGAATTAAGATTGAGAGGTAGAAGTCGGAGTTAAGAATTAAAGTTTTCATCATGAACTGACATTAGCTATAATGCCAAAATGCGTGAACATCACACCGAAACCCAGGACCTGCTATCTTTAATTTCATTGGTTCATCTAGAAATATATAGTCTCATTACTGCCACTTGTACCATTCTTTCGTAACGTTTGAATTGTAGCGGTTCCTCATTTCCCAATAAATGTAACAGAAGAAGATATAGCAGACTTACAGTTGAATACTGTTAGTCTTCTTTCTATACCCTTCAACTTCCGTAGCTATCTCTCAAGATTATGTTGTAGAAAAGTGGTGATTATAGCACAATAAGATCAGTTTCTGGTGTAATTCAGGCATTTTTGTAAGTTATATGTGAAAAAGTTCACTAAATGATATGGAACATATCAGTATTCTTAATGAAGTTTAACTAACCATCATAATTTCGTGAAGAAAATGTTTATGATGCTCCATCATGCCATCATTTATGGAACATAAGAAGCATAAGGATATAGAATAAATTTTTATCAGGCTAACAATTTCTACTTTTTGAACTACACTGATTCTTACCCACTCTTCAGTCCGCTATAGAACTGAATATTACATTTTGAACGAAAGTCTATACAGAACAACAATTTCTTAATAGTATCAGTGGTTTGCACTAAATCAAATCATAAATTTTTATTAAATACTGAGATTTCGTTTAATAAAAATACCTAATAAATAAGTGTATGAATGTAAATGAAGGATACTAATTCAAAGATGATGAATAGTCTGCTTCATTCAGTAGGTGAAAATCATGGTTGATTTAAGTAAAGAGTTTAGAGTTGTTTATAGCATACCATATCAGTTTATCATTTAACTGACATATATGTGTACGGTACTGAATTACACTCATTCATATAAATTTGTTTAGACCAACTATTCATCCATATTCAAGGAAAATTTGTACAATAGTTTTTATTTTCTTGACAATAAATATAATTAAACAATTAACCTAACATCGTATTTAGTAAATCAAAACAATTTACTAATGCTCTATCACTCTTAATTATTTCTTTATCCTTACATAACTGAAGTCAAAATGTACCTTGCGCGAACGTGTAACAAAACGATGATATCTAGGGGACCCACTTAGAATGGACAAACAACAAAGACATCAAATATGGTCCTGAATAAAAATAACGAACACTAATTTGAAGCGACAATACATAAAGCTTTCATAGTTTGAGTTGCGAACTGATTTAGTAAGACCACAGTTGAACACCTGGAAGCATTAGACAACTGTTTCGCCCCAATATAAGGCAAATCAACAGTGCGCACCGGCGAACACACTACAGGGAATCAAAGCCAAGGTCCTTCGGTCTCGCGCTGGAACGCTTAAACACAAGGCCACCTAGTGCCCCTAAATGTCCTGATACGGCCAAGGGTGGGACGAGTTAGCTTTCTCTTTCGAAATAACCTCACATGGTCAAGCGTATACAGCCACTACCAAGGAAGTCTTACTCACTACCTTCCCGAGGCGAGGATGTTGTTTACGAAATTGAGAAGATAAAAACCAAATGTCCGGCGCTTTAACGGGGTCAGTGGATATAGAGCATCCACCTAGGGGAGTTGAGAAACCTTGATTCCAAGCCCATGACTCCAGGATCCTGAGGGAACAAAAGGCCTATGAATTTATTGTTGGTCACTGGCTACCATGGTACTGCATCTCCTGATGTTGCTCCACTGCCTTATGAATTAGACCTGTAAATTAAAGGCTCCTGGTGTGTCTTTCTAAGAAAACCACCCGTTTCGGTTTTGGTACCCAGGCAGTATCCCAGCCCTCACACAAATCGAATGATGAATTGTGGCGTATACATATTTGGTGCCTCCTTATACCAATGTTTATGTGTTTAAATAAACAAAGGCCACCTAACTGGTGTTAATCTAGCTTCAATTAATTTCCAATATTTCTCAACCTTCATCTATAGCCAGTGGTGTTTATCTTTTTCATACCCAATATAGTTGAACTCCACTGGTCACGGTTCCCCACTGGAACTCTAGAGATCGGATCATGAAGAAATTTCTGTTTGTCTGGAATTTACAAACTCCTAATAAAGAATACTACAAAATCACCAGTACAAATTTTATCACCATTTTATATAGCAGTAAGTAATTATTTGGTATACCTAACCCCAATTACTAACGATGGAAGCTAATATATTTAACTTTAAAAAGAAAAACGGATGTCTGTTAAACCTCAAAATTGTCTTAATTACATAATTTCTTACAATTTCCTGTTCAAGTCATCAACACAACTAGCGCACATTATTTTTAAGTCAAGCAAATTTAGTTCAACGTGGATTTGTGCGCTGGCTTTTAACTGTGTTACAGAAAGTGGTTCAACGATCTTATCTCAACTATCCGGGCGAAGATAGACGTAGAGTACAATCCCTGCGACTGTTATAACCAATCATTGGAAATGCTGGTTGACATAACTAAAACTCGGTCGCAATGGTGAAGATGCATTTATTTATCTTAAAATACTTGTGGCCTTTATTTTGCACATTCATTCTTTCTTCCAGAATAATAATAATCT